TATTTTTTTACACAAATGGCTACAACCAACCTGCATCTCAGCTATACTGGCAGCTCTCAGCTGTGCAAGCCGGTCTCGGTCCTCTTCTCTGAAAGCTGTTCGCTGCCTACCCCGGCGCCCTGGTCCTCTTGAAGGAGCTCTGGACCTCAACCTGCTGCCCTCACCCCTTGAGCGTGTCCTTCCCCGACCCTCGAAGCGACCTTTTCCTCTCCCCTTTCCTTTAGCCCCTCGTCTCAAACTTTCCCACGACACATCAAAGTCTGTGGCAGGCTCGGGCACACTCCATCTGAACTGTCTTCCATCACTGCTTCCAATATGAATTCCTGAAAATCAATGACAGTAATGGAAAAATGACTGTATTACCCTGTAGGTCTTGTTGATATTATGATTTTATTTTGATGCATTTTTTGAACTAAACATTGATATTTATGTTCTTATTTACATTGTTGTGATGCCTGTCCTGTAATGAAATTGGTTTCACAAATGATGTCAGTGACTTGAAATTGGATGTTCTTACATGATGTATAAACAATAACATTAGCTTGTTAGTAAGCTTAGTGCAAAATAATAACTGTAATTTGTCTAAAAACATCAGAAATCACCTGCAGCCACAAAGCCTTATGCTGATAAAGTAGCATCATGTTACTGTCTTGCTCGCCAGTCACAAAACTAGCTTATGAATATTTCATAGGAAGGAGACATTGCTTTACATCACGAGTGTCATGGCTAAATTAAAATGCTAATGTTGTCATGAAATTTTACAAATATTAGACTAAAGTAACAATGTTACTTACTTCATCGCTCGACACCGTGCCTTGTTCGAGCCGCGCTCTGGCCGTACATCACTGTAACTTTTTTTTTTCTAGTGAAGAGTTTGTGCGCGCTCTCGTGCCGGGCTGCAGTTACTCACAGCGCCGAGTGCGTCGCTAATGAGTTTCGTTTCTTCATCCTGCCCCATGCTCCTTTAACGAGCGCCGGCTTTTAAATATGATGGCAAGCCGTCCCTGTTTCAGTAGCATCTAATCCATAATTTGCATTTTGTGGAAGTAAAATAAAAATCTGATTATTGCACAAATCATTCGACAAACGTGTTCAAATCTGAACTGGAAACATGCAGATTCATTTCGGGTTTGCTGCATGGATCCCCGTGTCTGTGAACGCAGCAGCTGTTTCTGCAGCAGGTGGATGGAGACGTGCTCGTAAAGAAGACGGTAACATGGTTACACAGACCTGGTTTGAGTTTAAGGAGGCCGGTGTTGAGTAGAAAAACATCCTCAGTTAAATATTTTGGGTGACTACCTGTGTAAAAGCAAGTTAACGCAGATAAGATGAGATGCGGTTCATTTATTAACATATAATGAACACAGGCTTCCAGACTTTCTGAACACCTCCTGTTATTTAATTTGAACCAGCTTTTCTCAACAGTTTCAGCTGATTGTCACATTTTATTAATAATAAGCCACAACAGAGCTAAGTAATTAAACATGAGTCTGAACCCCCTCCCACCCCCGCTCTGCGCAGCGCTGCGCAGAGCCGTCACGTCAGACTCGCGGACCAGCTGATCAAGAGGCAGAGACAAGGATAACCCTCCCTTATTTTAATATCATCAACAATAAAACGCAGAAAGGCATAAACCTACAGTTATTTATTGAAGAAAATGTAACTTCTATGAGCTAAATAAAATCATTCAAATTATTAAATGAATCAGGAAAGCAGGAAGTTTTTACATTTTTCATTTTGTTTCATGACGTTTGTTTACTTTTTTCCTGGGAAAGACAACTCTGTGCATGTTCAACCTATTTAATCTGATTGAATACTTGGTTCATATAAACTCACAGCATGATTGGATCATTTTAGTTAGTGTTAGGGCTGTAGGTAAACGATTATTTTCAAAACGATTATTCTGACGATTATTTTATCGAATAGTCAACTATTCTGACTAATTACATGATTAATCTTATGATTTTTTTTGCTGTACAATTGATTAAAACCAAAATATTTTAAAGAAATACCCCCAAAATTGTATAAATGATTTTATTACACAACGATTTTCCAAAGTCAAACATATTTTGCTTAAAACAAAATAAAAGCAGTATTATTATTGGAACACAGTTCCAATAACTCTAGTTTAACTCTAGTTTTAGTGCAAAACAGAACACTGTGCAAGTCACAGCATGAACATCCCTGAGTGTTTAACACAAAATAAAACTGTTTAACAGTCTCTAAGGAAGAGCACCCAGTTTTACAGCCTGAACAGAAGTGGTGAGTGTGATTTTTGAGGACCTCTTCTTTATGTTCTTCTTTAAATTTCACCAGAGTATCTTCATATGTTTTTTCCATCTGGTTTGTGAACCACCACCTGGATGGACATTTGAAGCCGGGACAGGCGTATTCGACCATATCGATGAAGGCGTCACCCTCAACAAGAGACAAAGGCCTCATGTCTTTGACAATCAACTGTAAGATGAAGAAAATAAAAATATAGAAACAACATAGCATTTAACATTTAATTACTAGACAAATCACACAAGGACATGAAGAAAAAAAGAAGCCAACAAAAGCAAACATTGGAGATTAAAGACACTGGACCCTATTTTGTCATATTCGTCATCTGTTTTTATCTAAATGAGGGTGAATTTTTTTTACATAGTTAGCAGTTTCCACCTAAAAGATGCTGAAAGCAAGCAACAGTTAGCTAGTATTTATTACTTACTGTCAAGATCCTTTTATTCAGCTCGGCTGTCCTCTGAGTTGTGCATTGCATCTCTTGCCCAAGAAAAGATGACAAGGTTCTTTGCTTTGCTCTGGAAAACACAAAATCAATTCAAAGATTAAAAGCGTTTATTGTCAAATGCACAGTTAGAAACATGTTTCCCTGTTGCAATAAAGTCAACAATGTAAGCTACACAGAAGTATAGGCTTTGCAGAATGCAAATTAGAACATATTTGGAGCATATCAGAAAACAGCTATGAATGTATGGTATCTTAAATCTGCTCTTAGCCTTATTGCAGTGCTATGCCATGATTAAGTCATTTGAGAATGCTGGTGTGGCTAATTTTGTAATGTTAAGTCATGTTTTGTACAACAATACATTTTGTCATTGCCTAGCAGCAGTTACCTAGTTAGCGATTTGGGCCAGCATTATATGCTATCGCTAATTAACGTTAGCTAAATACAGCTGTGTTAAGCCAAACCAAACACGCCCTACCGAAGTGCGCAGAGCTCACGCACATGTTACACAAGCATGCAATCAATTTAGCAAATACTGACAATATGATATAATGTTACTTACTTCTGTTCGCGGGAGTCACGGGTAACAATGGGATGCCTCCGCTTCAGATGCTCCCTCATGGATGTTGTGCTGGTGTGATAAGCTAATTCCATGGTGCAAAGACTGCAAATAACGGCACATTCACGTTTTGTGCTCCGTTTAAAATAACCTCACACCTTTGAGGTAGGGCGCCGGGGTCCCTGAGACATTGCTGCTGAGTCTATCAGAAGAACAGCGTTTTGTTCTCCGCGCTGCTCTGTTTATATCACGTGGTGCGTCGACTTCCGGATTTGGCGTCGACGGTTTTTTAGAATCGAATCCTCGACATCATCGAGGCGTCGCTACAGGCCTAGTTAGTGTGCATGTAAACTGAGATTCAGGATTTCCGATCAACCAAGCAACTTGCAACCAGGCAACTTGCGAAGCACAGCCCTAAAGCCAGAGTGAACATCAGTATGCCCTATGCAAATTTGAGAGAGCTAAAGAAGGCTAGAAAATCACAGACTGATGATAACCTGGCTTTGTTGTTACTAGACTAAGTAATTATGTTATTGTCCAACGGTGTGGAACTTGTTATTTTAAGGTTTATTTTAGTTGGTTCATCTAAGTGTTAGCTCATTGTTAGTGCCAGCTACAGCAGGCTGCAGCAGGGTTGTTTATGACCATTGTAATTTCACTTTCAACCTGTGCACCTGTACAAGAGACATGTTGATGTATGAAAATTTTTCTTGAGCTAAAAGCTGAACCTGCTGACATTCTCAGAAAATACCCTTGAGGAAAAAATATGTTGCAAATAGTGCTCAGTCAATACAGTTAGGCAGCTGATCCAAATTATTGGTTGCAGGTCATTTTTGAAAATAGAACTGAAAACAGATGCATCAGAAAGAAGTAGGAATGATCAATTGATAGCAAATCAACTCACAGCAACAATAGTTTAAATAAGTATAAACTAGTGATGCACCAATATGAAAATTCTGGGCCTATTACGATAGATATCAATTTCACTGTTAAGCAATGTCACCGATATTTGTCCAAATCCATATGCTGACATTAATGCTTCAAAAATCAGCTAAATGAAAATTATTAAAGCTGAATTTACATTATTATGTACACACACCACACACATTTACACTTCTGAGATGATTACAATCATTTTCACATGACTAAACAAATACACACCACCCCCTCACCCTCTGAAACTGGCAAACAAATGGAGACAAGATGGAAAAAACATTGGTTGTTAATATCGGCCCGGTTTTATTTATTGGGCCGATACCAATTTGTTGAAAAATCCCTAACATCGGCCGATACCGTCATTGATGCCGATATATTGTCCATCCCTAGTATAAACATATGAGTTGTTGCAATACTCTACCAACAAAATTTAGGACTGGCTAGTGCTCTGTACCACTTTATTGCTCACGCTGCTTCAAACCATAATAATCAGTGCTCATCAAATCTCAAATTAGCATTTAGAAATTGTCCTCAAGCCACACCTCCAATATCTCACGCTGCAGAATTAAACAGCAGCTCTAAATGACGTATTGAAGCTTTACCTCTATGTTTAAATAGAGCAAGGTGAGCAGCATAAACAACATTAGGTAATCTTGCTTAGTCACGTAGCTAAGTTGCTAACCAAGTACCGTTAGAGCATTAGCCAGGTTCAGTAAAGTTATTGTGGGATTTAAAAGATGATTGCTGGTCTAAATGAAGTAAACAGTTACTTACTTTTTACAGTTGACGGAAATTTGTCCATTTTTTTAAGTTTCTCTGCAAAAAAAAAACAAAAAATCTTTCACGTTAGCTTATTTCATCAGAAGAGGTCTAGGGTTGTAGCCAAACCGCTAACGGCCGCGAAAAAGAGCTCGAGCTTCATTAGTGCTACATTCGTAGACTGCTGGGAATCCTCAGACTTTCATTTTCACTGAAATCCTCAATTTAACAATTTTACCAATTAATACATGCGAAAGCTCCGCCAGTTTTTACATATGTTTTTTATCCTTTAATATTTTAAAGCAAGTAATATTTGCTTCATGAAAAGCAACAAAGCAGCGGTGATGTCAAGTTGTTTCTCCAAGTTATTTTCCAGATATTTTGGAAGTGAAAATTCAAGTCATTTAACGCTACAATTGACGCAACATTTTTTCTATTTTTATCTTGATTAATATAACACCAGTTAATTATCATTGAATATTTAGGCTTTATTTGTTTGACTATCAACTGTTTCAAAATAACCATTTAAAGATGACAATAACTACATTTAATCTCAAATAGCACGATAATTGTTTTCACTGTTAAGTAGTTTGATTTTGGATGGTCATATTCCCCATAAATTGCGCTTGATATCACCAGCTGAAGTTGTACATTGTGCGCTGTTATAAACATTTATTTTCTGCATAACATGTATCTCGTGCCGTGGAAGTCAGCTGCTCTGTTAGAGGCACGTTTGTAAGTAAACATTACAAATATTGCAGTTGTATTCACATGTGTAAATACATAATTAATATGATAACTGCATTTCTGTTACAGTTACATTAGGTAGCTTATAAACTTTCAGTATGTTTCAAAATATAACTATTTTACAAAATAATACTTTCATATCTTAGTTATGTTTCTCAGTGACAACATTAAAGTATTTATCTCAGCTTCAACTTCAAATAAACATGCTTTGGTTCCACATCTCACACTAGAGTAAATTATCACATAGTTGTCACATGTTTATTTAGAGAACATACTTTCTGACTCAAACTGTAAATGTAAAGATTAAATGTTTCATGTTTGACATTTTAAATAAACTTTTTTCTCTCCAGTTGCGCTGTTTTGGATGTTCACAACAAATCGTTCATGCAGAATTAAATTCAAGGATTTTAATAATAAATCATCAATAACTTTAATCCTGGAGGCCTAAACATATGCAGAAAAATACTCAGCAAAAAAAAATTCCCCTAAATTACAAAGTAATGTGAGGGTTCTGATATTTCTGACCAGTCTCTTTACACGTCTGAAGAAAAACCTTTCCACTGGTTCAGCTGTGTATACAGGAAAGCTCCTTGCTGTGTGTGTGTGTGTGTGTGTGTGTGTGTGTGTGTGTGTGTGTGTGTGTGTGTGTGTGTGTGTGTGAGTGCGTGCGTGTGTGTGTGTGTGTGTGTGTGTGCGCGCGCGCATGTGTGTGTGTGCGTGCGTGCGTGTGTGTGTGTGTGTGTGTGTGCGTGCATGCGTGCGTGTGTGCGTGCGTGCGTGCGCATGTATGTGTGTGTGTGTGTGTGTGTGTGTGTGTGTGTGTGTGTGTGTGTGTGTGTGTGTGTGTGTGTGTGTGTGTGTGTGTGTGTAAGACCAGTAAGTTCCCCGTAGTTTTGAAAAGCATCTAAAGCAAATGACTCCACATCCACCCTCTCAGTGAGGAACTTCCAGCAATTGTTCGTCAGGAGTCTTATCTGTTTCTAACAACTCCTTCTCTAAAGGCCTCATTGTGAAAACATGCTGCTACAATTTTGTCCAATTTTTTATAGCCTGTGCTTTCATGAATAAATTGTGAGTATATATGCATCTACGTAAATCTCAGTGTCATAAAAATACAGTTTAAAAGTAATTTTTACACTTCTGTTCCACGTCCCGTAAACATACAAGAAATGTAGTTTTATCGATTTATTTTATTTGCTCATATATACATATTCCTCAATTTTAAGGTTTAATATTTTCCTCAAAATTTAGAGCTATTCATTTCTAGTCAAGGAGGACTACAGTGGCAAACTAGACAGCCACCTAGGGTGCCCTCGGGGGGGGGGGGGGGGGTTCAAACTGCGCCCACACCACCACCCACTTGCCTAAAAAATAACGTTCTGCTGTCCATTTATAACTGGATTCTGAAGTATTAAAAAAAGATTTTGCTAATTTACTGAACTAAGCCAGTGATATTCCCATCCAGCTCTCTTTAATCCTACTCTGAGCTCGGCTGCCTGCCTTGTTCTGATCAGAACCTAGCAGACCAGTGACACCGCATACCTACCCAGTGTCTCGTTTAGGTCAGGAAAGTCCTGTATTTTACACCCCCCCCCCCCCCCCCCCCCCCCCCCCCAGATATTTTGCCAGGAAATCTCCCAAAAAATCCCTCACCACCTCCTCAAGGAGACCCGACAGACAGGAGTAACTGTGCTGCACTGTGACAGCGATCGGGGCACAGAGCCAGTAGCTGGGTTCATAGTGTTTGCTGTCCGGAATCCGGATAAAACAAGTTCTTTTACCACAGCCAAAGCTGCTGGTCAGCCTGCAGGAGACTGAGAAGAAGTTTCTTCTGTTAAAGAAGATGTTGACATGTTGAAACCATCTTCAGCACTGTGAATCATCGGTCTCGTGTAGGAAATGCAAATGTTAGAGCAATCCAAGTCACATGTGAAGAGTCCATTTACAGTTCCTGTCAAATGTTTCATTATATCTACCCCTATGTATTTGAATATAAATGATAAAAAGGAAGGATTTTAGCTGTTTTAATGTTCACTCTTGGCTAGGGTATTCCCCCAGATTTCCCCTGTGTTCAGTAACTGCAATGCAACTACATGTCACACACTTAAAAAATTAGAATATGGTGCAACAATTCATTTATGTGACTATTTCAGCCTAAACGGTGAAATTGACTCATTCCATGCAAAGCCAGATATTTCAGCCTTTATTTGGTATAACTGTGATGATTATGGCTTGCAGCTGATAAAACCTCACATTCAAAATCTCAGAAAAATAGAATACTACTTGAAATCAGTAAAACAAGGATTTTAAATGTAGAAATATCAGTCATCTTAAAAAGTACAATCATGCATTTATACATGGGGTACTTGGGGTGCTTTTAATGAAATAATGGACTTTTGCACCACATTGTACTTTTTTTAAGTTTCACTGCTAAAATGTCAGAGAAGATAAGGATATCACCATGTGGACTCACAAGAGGTGCAAAAGCTGAACATGTGATAGTGATGAGCTGTCACACGCTTATATAAAGATGCACCACAGTTATGTTTACATTTATACAGAGGTGTGCACACAGAGCTGTGAATTTACTGGGATTTATATTTTACATGAAGTGAAAAAGTCCAAATTTAAATGTTTTGCAACTTAATAATTAGATTTGAGAAATAAAGATGAGTTGAACATTGCTGATCATGTGCTTGTTTGTTACACCATCATGGGCTCACTCCTAAAATATCTGGGACAACCTGCAGCTGGATCTTCAGTCCAGCCACTCTCCTCAGCGTCTCTGCTGTACTCAGGTGAGTCTCTCGTGTTGGTAAACACTTGTTATGATTAAGTTTGGTTGACTTGTGTGAAAATAACATCATGTTGTGCCGTGACATTCAGATAATGTATTTCCATGGTTTTCTTATATTTATGGACCTAACCACCAAATAAGGTTTTACAAGAGCATACTGCTCCTCCTGCCACTAGCTGCTGCACCTGCTTGTTCAGGTGAGTGACCTCTGCTTTTATTAACAGCAACATTTATTCCACATTTGGTGTTTGGCTAATTAATGTCAAGATTTTAACGGAACTCACATTTATTTATTAATTGATGTATTCTTTAAAATATCAGGTTATAAATTGTGTTGCAGTCACACAATATATGTTCACATGTATGTTAGTTATTCTATATTTTGTGTACATGTGGTTAATCCATCTCATGTCAAAGATAAGAAATTGTGCTTCATTTGATCTGTAGATGCAGCAGAAGCAGCAGTCCATCATCAGTTGATCCTGCATCTATAGAGGACACAGTTGGTTTGGACTGGTCCACATCAGGTAACACCTGATTTGATTTTTCCTCTGAGATGATGGAAGATGTTTCCACTGTTACTTTAGCAGGACCTCAGTAAATGGTGAAGCAAAATAATAATAAGCACTGCCTAAGCTTGCTTATGGCGCCATTATGGTCTAGGATCACCCCTGGCCACTGCCCTGCATGTTTTAACTGTTTCCCTGTTCTAACACACCTGATTCAACAGTCGAACCACTTCTTCACCATGTCCTCAAATTCATGATCACCATTTCATTCAAACCAGGTGTGCAGGTACATGGACATAGAAAACATGCAGGTGGTTCCCAAGGACCTGCATTGAGCTGTTCTAGAACTAACAGTGAGGCAAAACTGTTCTTATTCTTCTTCACCGTCCCGAGGCATGGTGCAAGAAATCTGGAGGAATTTCAGCACACAATAAAGACAAGAAGTCAAAGTACAACATCTGTGCTCTCCAAATCATCATCTGAGCACCGGGCAACAAATCTAAATCAAAAACTGACAAAAGTCACCAAACCCGCTCTGAACTTGAGACAGTTCTCCACACCTTCATCTCCTCACGCTTTGACTACTGCAACTCTCTTTTCACGTGTCTGAGCAGAACCTCCCTGAACCGTCTGCAGGTGGTTCAGAACGCCTGTGCTCGGCTTCTGACCAAGTCCTCCAAACACACCCACATCACCCCGCTTCTCCTCCAGCTTCACTGGCTGCCAGTCAACTTCAGGGTTCATTTCAAGATCCTGGTTCTGGTCTATAGGGCCTTACATGGACAAGCACCATCTTACATTGGTGATCTTCTTAGTCCCTACACCCCCAGCAGGTCCCTGAGGTCCAGTGATCAAAGCCTACTGGTTGTGCAGCGCACCAGGCTAAAGGTGACAGATCATTTGCTGCTGTGGCCCCCAGACTCTGGACCTCTCTCCCCCTGAGCCTGAGATCAGTGGACTCAGTGGTCCCCTTTAAAAAGCAGCTGAAAACTCAAGTTCAAGCTTGCTTTGGCGTGACCTTCATCACCACCCACGCTATATAAAAGATTGTTTTCTTTCTTTTCTTTCTTCATTGCTGCTCATTATTAGTGCAAAAACCTGTTTAATGTGATCACAAAGTGCCATGTATGTTTAAATCTCAAGACTTTTACATCAAAATCTGGACCCGAAAAGAAAAAATTAATACAAATTTGGACATAATAAGAAAAAAATCAGTTCTAGAGTTCACTTGGCTCCAAATTCCTCTAAAGCCTAAAAAAAGATCCTTATTGCTTAAATTCAACAAATTGTGTCCCATGTTGTCATGCCTCATAGGACTGTTTCTTTCATTGCTGCAGGGAATTGAAGAGGGAAAGCTCCTCACCACATTTCAGTCATGCTGAGCCTCACCCTTCAACTCTTCATCCACTCCCTGAAATGGAAGCTGCTGATTCCAGCGGTGGGCGGAAAGGTGAAGGCAGGATGTTCTTATTTCAAGAGCCTGCACTGTGACCCGCAGCAGCGTGGTTAATTGTTGTAGTGATAAAAGAAAACAGTCTGCGGCACATCCACACGCTGCAGGGTCCTGCTGGACAAAAGAGGATTATTTACTTTGATATTAAAAGTGGAGCATCCTGTTGGTGAAGATAAAAATAAAGCCAGCTTGTGTTTACTCTAATCACTTAAGCAGATAGATTCCGTCAGAAATCACATGAAGGGTTTGATTTGATTGTTTTTCCCTCTCAAAACAAGATAACATCCGTGACCTTTGACCTGAGCTTCACACTGATGAAAATAGAGGCTGGTTAGTTATCTGCTTCAGACTTTGACACCAACTACCCTTCACCCATGGGCCAGGTTATATTTATATTATTCAGGCGTTTGCAGCATTTTTGATTAACATTGACTTCATTTACTGAATACAAATGTAACTATGATAGAATGTAATAATCTAAAATGTTTCACTTCTGGGATTCCCTTTTCAAATTTACTGTAAAACATTTTAAATACCTTTTGAATTGAAAAAGACTTCAGGGATGAAGTCCAGCCTCTAGTAGAAGGGTTTAAATATCTCGAGGTCTTGTTCACGAGTGAAAGAAAGATGGAGAGCGAAATCGACAGGCGGATTGGAGCTGTGTCTGCAGTGATGCAGGCGTTTTACTGATCTGTCGTAGTGACAAGAGAGCTGAACCAGAAGGCAAAGCTCTCGATTTACCGGTCGATCTACGTTCTTCACCAGTGGTCACGAGCTTTGGGTAGTGACCGAAAGAACGAGATCGTGGATATAAGCAGCCAAAATGAGTTTTCTCCGCAGGGTGGCTGGTTAAAAGCTCAGTCATCTGGGTGGGGTTCGGAGTAGACCCGCTGCTCCTCCACATGAAGAGGAGCTAGTTGAGGTGGCTCGGGCATCTGGTCAGGATGCCTCCTGGACGACTCCCCTGGTGAGGTTTTCTGGGCACGTCCAACTGGGAGGAGTCCTAAAGCAAGACCCAGGACACCCTGGAGGGACTATGTCTCTCACCTGGCCTGGAAACTCCTTGGGACTCCCGCGGAGGAGCTGGCCCAAGTAGCTGGGGAGAGGGAAGTCTGGGCCTCTCAGCTAAGGCTGGTGCCCCCGCAACCCGACTCTGGATAAGCGTTTGAAAATGGATGGATGGATGGACATTTTAAAGAAAACATGGAAAATGTATTAAAGGGTCAAACACTAATTCATTTAATTTTCGTTGAAAATAAAGTTGAGCAAAATGCATTTATGAAATAAAAATTATGAATCATTTATTCCTAATCAAAACCTGATTAAATTGTGTATCAGTTTTTGACTGATTGACTGACTGATTAACAGTAATTAAGTCATATTTAATATTATGATGTGCACTGATATCATCTATTTGTGTTTGACTGATATGTTTTCCCCCATGTGTAAAACAGCTGGGAGAAAAAAAACATCTGTTCTCTTCTGAGTGAAAATCATGTGTAAAACTGTGTTTATTTCACTATTGTACTCTGCTAAAACTTTTAAAACTGTAATATTTTTCTAAATAAAATTCATCCTTTTTGTTGCCTTATTTTAAATGTGTGCACCAAGGTCTAATAAATCATTAACTAGTTACATTTTACTAATGTAATCTTGAAAAAAAAATGAAAATGAACTTTAATTATAGCTTACACATTATTATTGCTTCTTACAACGTGACACCCTCAATTTATAAGATCAATGATTTTAGAGCTTTTTGTCATCAGTATTTGAATAATTATCTACTTCCGGTCCTCTTATTGATAAGTATGTTTTATATAAATATGTCCACGCTGATTTTTTTTTTAAATCCAGAAGTGTCCAGTTCGGGGTGTCCTCCCAGTAAAGTGACGTGGCGTCCTTCCTCTGTCTTTATAAAACACGCGTCTCACGACCGGACTGAAAGTGCTGCACAGGAGCGAGAGGAGAGGCGCGCGTAAAAGCCAGGCACTGATTGATCCTTCCTTTCTAGTATCCCTCCGCTCACACACAAACGAAGAACTAAACTAAAATGTTGTAATTGTTCATGTTTCATCTCGTGGACACTTCCTGTTATTACTGAATTTGGTTGCACCTGCTGCTCGCTGGCACATCCGCCTCCTCTTCGCTGGAGCCGGTCTGAGCTGGAGAGTTCCCCCGCGTAACGCGTCATGGGACACTGGAGAACCACCGCAGCGCTCTGCTTGCACACCTGAAGCTTTTGTGGATTTATAGGACACGTTTTAAAAGACAACCAACATTATTTTTAAATGAACTCACACTGAAGGGAGACTTTGGTTTTACCGGAACTAAAAAACAAAACAAAACAAAAAAAAAAAACTGATAGGAATTTTATCTCAACACTTTGACCTCGGTTAGGATTTTGGTGAAGTTGGCAGAATGACCTCGTTCATCTGCTTCATGATGATCGTCTCCTGCTGCTCTACATTCACAGCTGGTAAGAAATCAATTAGACCTTTTATTTGTGAATTTTTATTGGTACGCATGTCTGAAAATGACACAGTTGAATGAAATCGTCTCAGTGAATGAATTACCTCATACTTTTGTTGTAGTCAGAATTTTTTTTTATTCTGAAGATAATATTGATTCTTCGGTTTGTAACTGATGCCTGAAGGTTTTTATATTGTTTGAACGTCCTGGACCTGCGGCTCTCACACACACCACTAGAGGTTGTCGTGTCTCTTTGAAGTTATTCTAAAAAAAAAAAACCTCAATGTATATAAAACTAAAACAAAATAAAAATTCTGATTCGTCTTGGTTTTGACTTTGATCTGATCAGGTTTTCCTCGGGTTTCTTCAAATTAAGTATTTATTGCTGTTTCTTTTAATAGATGACATGTTTATTCCAGCAATTGTTGGAAGATAAAACACTGGAGGAAAAGTGCTTCATCTGACAGGAGAATCACCCTCATTGTTCCCGTGTTCAAGTCCAGCAAAACAAAGCAGAGAGTAGAAAACATAGATGTTCCTCCACCTTGTGCCAGGTCCACTGTACCACTGAGATACACACCGTAGCTTCCTCACTGCTTCCAAATAAACAGCCCATCCAAACAAAGGAAAGACTGTTCACATTCCACACACACACACACACACACACACACACACACACACACACACACACTTAGAGTGTATGAAGCTTTGTTTGCAGTGTTTTTAAGCAGATTTCCTTCACTGTCCACGCACAAAGCGTGGGAAAGACGCCCAGAGGAAGCGGATGCAAGGACAAGAAGCAGCCTGGAATTGTTCTGGCCAGTAGAGGTCACGGAAATGTGACACGCTACCTGAGCAAAGATTTCTTCCCGAAGCTTCTTGAGCTGATTTGCACTTATCTCAAACCTCACACACCAGACAATAGCAAGGAGGAAAGTGGGGCATTGTGTCTGCAAATAAACCTCTGACTGCTAGAGCCATTAGTTATCTTATGACGGGTTAACTGGTAGTGCTGATATGTGTAGCAGGTTTGGAAAAAAACCCACAGATATGTAAAAAAGAAAATGATTAAATAAAATAGCTTCTTAAGGAACTAATTAATGAGACAAAGCAGAAAAACCTCATTTAAAGGATAACCTTATGTAGAACAGGTCAAGTGTGCATGTCTGTGACCTTTTGACACCAAATCAAACAAATCAGAATGACTCCAGAAGTTTATTGCAGCATGTTTGATGTGATGAAGTTCTTCAAGTGAATTTACTGGTTGTAAACTGGTCAAATTAAAGAGATGGGTTTGTCTCTGATATGTTTAATATTGTGATATTCAAGTGAGAATTTGGAAAACGAAGATTTCCTTCTACTTTGCGTGGTAGGGTTGATCCTTTAAAACTGCAGTTCTTAAACGTTTCTCCACGTGGACCCCCTTGCTTGTGTTCAAGACGGGCCAGGGCCTCCCCAGCCACAACTCTTACCCACATTAAAAGTGATTCATGACAAACTTTAAACAGACATACACAGTTATAACTCTTATACAGAGTCTTAATTGTACTATTGACTGTGTTATTGCTATTTTATTAATATAATTTTTACAAAAATAATTTTTATAACCATGCAACCTCAGTAAAGGCAATCTTGCGGTGGTGACCTCTTTGGGGGGTCAAGGACTAAGTTGGGAACCACTAATTTAAAATACTGTCAAGGTCATTTTGAAAGTCTTTGATTTAGAACAGGTGGATGCTGGGTTTCTTTTATGCTTTGAAAAGTTTATTTTTCCTCTTTGGACACTTGAGAAATGCTGTAAAACTGGAGTGATGGGCTCAGCCAAATGCGGTGGGAGACTCTTATCTCGCTGGTTTTATGCTTGAGTCCTACAGGCAGCCCCGAACAAAAAACAAATCAGTCTCATTAAGTATAAGATTTTGTAGTTTTTTCCATCCTTTTAAGATCATTGCAGCATATGATCCAAATATCTGGATGCAGCCGTATGATTTCTTTAAATCCTGCATGAGATTTCAATTTCAAGGAGCTTCTGTCTGCCTGAGCATCCTAATTAAACATTATGGAAAGGGAATTTACTGGATTTTGGTACTTTCATGCAGGAGATTCCTGTTTGTTGGCTCTGCTTGACTTTATATAACCTTGCATGGCCACCCATCATGGCCAGATGTTCATTTCATTTGCTTTTTTAAGAGGAGTCTGGGGCATTTTGCCTTTCAAACCTCCAAAGGCTAATATAGGGCTGGTAAAAAAGGTGCTCTCTACAACTGTTGTCTTAACCTTGCAGTTGCCAAAGAGAAGAGGTCCTGCAGGAAGCATCCAGAGCAGTGCTGACTGATTCCTATTATGGCAGGTGGTAGCCAGTTGTCTGTACTTAGCTTTGTTTTCAGATAACAAAGAGAAAGTTGTTTGTTTCATATACGACTCTAGTCTGGGTAGCTGCTGCACTTTGCTGGTAATTTGCGAGTGCTTCCCATCTTTCACTGCAGTCACACAATGCAGACAATGACTCATGCACATTTTCAGCAAACTTTCCACATTTTCAGCCTTTTGTTGTGATACAAATGCAGCAGATCAGTTGTTAGGATTCGACAAGGGAACAATAAAGCTGTCTGGTATTGTTACTTTTGCCCTTATAGTTCCACAAAAAGATTAACCTCCACCCGATTCTGAAGAAGGCTGCACGCTTTTGTTACCAGACAGGAAGTACGGGAACATGAATTATGCTCTCTGCACAAGAGATGGGAATTCCGCACATTATCGCCAGCTCTTGAAGGTCTGCAACTCGGGGTTTCCTGTTCAATTCAGAGCCTGTACAGTGATCTGTTACAGTAATAGATGGTTTTTATTATGCAACATCAGTCAGGAGATACTGGCAGACAGCAACCTTCAGAACAAAGGCTCACATCTTTAATGCCAACTTCTTTTCTCTTCTGGTTTCTTTCTGCGTATTTGATGCGTGTGTCACTTGCTTCTGTGAGTTCTCATGATTTCAACTCAATTTTCATTTTTGTTTTTACAGAACTTTATTACATTTCTTAAACACTTTGTATTTTTGTCTTAGATTTGCAAAACATACCTTGCTTTCCAATGCAGGCGACAGCAAATAATTTCAAACACATTTACACTATAGCATAAATCTGCTTTGTATACGTAAATCTACAGTAGCCGTTGTAGACATATTCTTTACATTTTGGGTCATGTTTGTAATTTAGTGCTCACACACATTAATAATTTCATCCATTCAGCATAGCTTACCAAAAAGAACACTAATCCCCCTATTCTGCTCTATTCTTCCTGTGATGGCACCATAAATAATAGAATAGACTATTGATCCCACAGTAGGGAAATTTACTTGTTAAAGCAGCAACAACATTTAAGAGAATAATTTGAAGAAAAAAATAATAACAAAGGTACACATAGGCAGTAGTCTAGTATTGTAACCCTCGATCACTAAAAGCCATAAAAAAAGGAAAAAGCTTGGGCTCCAACACTATGCAGCATACTGCAATAGACAAGGACATACCATGTAAATCTGGTATTGAATGAGTATTGAGCACATACTGAGTATTGCATTGATGTTATTGGGTACCAGGATAATGCCAGTTCCAGTTAAACTGAGGAGTTATACACTCTTACTGCAGAGGGAATGAAAGACAAACGATAGTGTTCTGTTTTACATCTGGGATGTCGCAGTCTGTGTTAAGATTGGACTTGGAGACCCATGAGGACAACCAGACACAGTAAGCGCTTTAAGTCTTTTATTTACAGAGATATAGAGTTACCAGAGACTGATGGGGCTGAGGCTGAGGCAGGGTGGTGAGGAGGCATGGGTCAGAACCAGAGAGATCCGTAATAAATCCAAGGGGAAAGGCGAGAGGCAAAATCCAGAGACGGGTCGGTGTTCGGTAAACCAGGTAGAATGAGAGACAGAGTCACAGACAGGGAGCAGACAGGAGGCGAGGTCGAGAAGCAGATCCAAGGTCGATATACCAGGCAGGCTTGTAATCAAAGCAACAAGAGCCAAACAGGGGCGAGGCAAGGTTGAAGGTTTTAGGCGTTCAGTAATCTGGCGCTGCCTTGGTGTTGGTCCAGGTGTTTTATAGAGAGCGTTGCAGGTGGAGCTGATGAGGAGTTAATGTGAGACAGGTGGTTTGGATGAGGTTGATGGCGAGCTGGTAGTGGTTGCTGGGGAAACGGGGCTTGGCTGGAGCAGGGGCATGACAAGTCTGCCTCTGAAGGAGCTGTCCATGGTCTCCACTGTGGAATGCAGTGGATTTTTAAGATGAGGTCATCTTCTCCAGTATCCTCCTTTCTCACGTCTCCTCAAATGAATTCAGTGGGCAGCTCAGAACTGAGATAGCTTTGTGAACTAGCTTGTTCAGTCTCTTTTTGTCTCGGTCAGAGCTGCCTGCACCTCAACAGACCACAGCAGAGTGGGTAAAAGAGCCAACCACAGAGTGATAAAAGGATTTTAGCAGCAGGGAATTAACTCAGAAGGACCTCAGCCTCCTGAGAAGGTGGAGGTAGCTTTGGCCCTTCTTATACAGAGTATCTGTGTTGCTGGACAAGTTCAGTTTGCTGTTGAGATGAACACCCAGGTACTTAAAGGTATTCACTACCTCAATGTCTGCTCCCTGGATGTTTACTGGTGAGAGAGGAGGAGTGTTTCTCTGGAAGTCAATCACCATTTCCTTTGTCTTACTGGTGTTCAAGCGAAGGTGGTTACGCTCACACCAGTCCACTAAGTCCATGATGAGTGATCTGTACTCCAGGTCATTCCCCTCAGACACACAGCCGACAATGGCCGAGCCATCAGATTACTTCTGGAGGTGACAGCTGTCAGCTGTTGGTGTTGTAGGTGAAGTCCGAGGTGTAGAAGATGGAAGAGAAAGGGTGAGAGCACCATACCCTGTGGAGCTCCAGTACTGCACACAACCACCTCAGATGTACAGTTGTGTAGCCTCACGTACTGTGGCCTGTTGGTGAGATAGTTGATGGTCCATGCAGTCAGATGTTTGTCCACTCCTGCAGCCCTCATTAACTGCTCCTGGTCCACCCTCAACATCCCCTCATTTACCTCATCAGTGCTCTCGTTGTTAAATAATGTGCTAAAAACTCAACCAGCTCATCTGAGGAACTTTCTCACTGACCTGGTTGCAAAAGGACAAAAGATGATGAAAAGTACCACACTGACCAGTAGAAATAGCAGCAATGCTGAAACTATGTGACTGAAATGGAATGTAGATAGAATAGAATATACTTCTGCCTTCAGACAAACAAAAAGAATGGTAACACTTTACAATAAGGGTCCCTTTATTAACGTTACTTGGTGATCTGTGTGGATCATAAAATACATTTGGAACTCTCACCTCGTGACTTTGGTATTCTTCTAACTGAACTACAAAAATCTCAGTGAAAAGGAAAAATGGTGGATATGTTCTGTGTTTAGCTGGAAGTTCATGACCATATTTGGCAGTTACTGTGAGAATATAGAGAATAAAATGAAATAAAAAATTAAGAAAACTGAACAGGTTGAAAATATGACCAAAGCTTTATACAAAAACATCCAAAGAGCACTTGGAGTGACTAATAAATTTTTTTTTGCACATCTGGAGACCTAAAATGCACAACACACTGTATTTAAGGGCTATAAAGGCAGATTTTCCATGAAATGCCCTCTTTAAGCATTAATAAACTATTAAATAAAGTACTAACAACTGCTTAACCATATTAAGTAATGCATCACTAAGCAGACACCCCTCATGGCTCTCTTTCTAAACCTTAAAGAGACAATTTGTAGTTTTTACCATGAATCTCTAGAAATATCCATTTGAATTTTGTTGAAAGTGAAATTAATTATGCCCAGTTGTTGAAAAATTTTGCAGATTTTGTAACATATAATAATCAAAATCAGGTCTAAAATACATGGGGGATGTGCATAAGATGCCACGTTTCATTCTATGGGAGCCCATGAGGACAAAATGCTTTTGCTGATTTGTAACAAACAATTACAAAACTTTTGTCGATCTTAATTGTTGTTTTACACATTTACTTCTTCACTTGCTGCCAGTGATGAAAGTGAGTCTCATGTGCTTGTTATTTTGCTAAAGTTTGCACTCTCCAGGGCTTATTGGCACTAATGGGCATCTGTTGTCTTACTCCAACACAAAAATACTGCTTGCTTGCATATCTACTGCTCCCTATTGCCAGAAAAAAGTGCACTGTCACTTTAACATAGCAGACCCTTTGTTTATTAATTATGCACTAAACCCTTATTGTAAAGTGTTTTCAAAATATACATTTTCTCTGCTATAAATATCTCAGACTCTGGGAGAGTTGAGTCTAAAAAAACTGATTTCATTTTCTTTTTTTATTTTTTCATTTTTAATTTCCTGACTGATAGTGAACCTACCCTCGAACATTTTTTTCCAAACCGTATATCCTGTGTCTTTCTGGTCAAATCAAATCCAAGTGAGGATGTACTATTTGACCCTTATCTCAGGATCTGAAAGGCTGAAGACCTGGTCGTGATTTGGCTCAAAAACCCCTGCTCCTCTCCCTCCCTCTTTCACTCTGTTTGTTCCATGCCTGTCCTTTTCTTGAGCGATTCTTAATGAGAACCAGCTTCAGGGCCCTTTGAACTAACAAAATAAGCGTAATTCTGGTATTTTTCAGGCGATGTCCTGGAGGAATGCGTTGCACAGCTGTTACAGGGGGGTAAGAAGTGTGAGGATGCTTTCAGAGGTCAGCGTCAGACAGCAGCAGGAGGGAGTAGTGAGGGACACAATCACACAATATGTTTCTCCGTTTTGTTTTTATTTTAACTGGATGCTTAGGACCCTCATGGAGTCGTAAATCTGTAAAGAGTCATTAAAAAAGACGAGTTTACCTTCATTGTTGCTTTTGAATCTGAGTATTATTCAAAGAAACCAACAGAAACTTGTCAGGGTGATGCATTTCATTCCACTTTTATGATTCATTACATACGTTTCTAGAAACTCATTTACTTTCCAATGATTCAGTTTATCTGAACTCCCAAAGGAAAAGTAGCATCAGAGTGTTAATTGGGAAAGTTAAATTAACATCTACTAAACTTAAGACAAACTGCATGAAACTCTGTTGATATTTATGTAATAGCAGAAAGCATGTACTGTACCAACATGAAAGTGTGTGAGCCACAACCCTTCTCCTCCATTTACCCTTGAACAATAAAACAACGATGTTGTAATATTTTGAGAGGAAGTGGATCCCACTGCCAAAGCTGGCAGTTTCAGCTCATGAGCTAACAGCTGTTCTGAATAAGAGAGGAAAACTCAGCCATCATGCCTGAGTGAGCGTTTTTTAATTTATTTATTTTTTATGTGTGTGTGTGTGTGTGTGTGTGTGTGTTGGTGGTGAATGTGGTGGCCTTGTCAGCGATTCCAGGTGGGCATTTGTGCTTGCACATGTGTATCCATCAGCTTATTTTTGTGTCTACTTCGTGGTAACACCATTGTCTTTGTCACAAAATGTACAACAAATGAGGGTTTCCCTGAAGACTGTCATGTTTGGAGCACAGACCTAATAAAGTTGTTTTTTGACAACGAAAGCAAGCTGTTCAGGGATCTCACTGAAAAGACGGAAACTACATGTGGGACTGGGACACCTCCTGGGCTCCAGGGAGAGCCACACAGTGCTTCCTATGTAGATCTGAGTTATTGAGCCTCTCAGCAGATTCTGCTGGCTTGGAAACAACCAGAGGCCACTGTTGAATCAAACCACTCCATCACATCATGAGAACAACACTCAGGGTGCAAGGTAGCAGTGGATTAAGTGAGGGAACATCCAAAGATCCAGTCCACCTGTATCCGTTGTTGTTTCTGCTCATCCCAAACCAGAATCTGCTCAACAGCTCACCCTCTGATCACGGAGGGTAATTGCTTAAAGACACAGGAGCTGAACTAAACTAAACAAACCCACATAGCTTGCACTGAAATGATTCATGGGAATTTCCAGTCTAGTGCTTTAGCGTAACAACGACTAACATGCACCATTAAAGAAATGCTGTAAATGCACTTATTTGCTGCAGTGGCACCCTCAAGGGTTGGCCAGGGTGGCCATGGCCACCCCTAGAAAATGGCTGGCCCGCACAGAGAAGACCAATGTTCTTTATTAACTCATATTAATGTTCACACAAACCATAAATTCATGTTATTTAATCAAGAAATAAATGTAAAACCCACGTTTTTTTTTTCAAATAACGAGTAGACAGTGGCAGAGTTTGCTGTGGCTCTTTCCTCTGTTCTAAATGACTCAAATGTCTTTAAAACCACAAGTAGAAGCGCTAAAAGCATTTCTTCTAAAAAAAAAAAAAAAGATATTTTCGCCATTGCCAGATGCCTTTTTTTTTTTTTACTACAACTAGAAAACTACAGCGTCGTGCGGTACAGTCGGGATTTCCGTCTTTTTTTCTGATTGGTTATTCTTGAGCTGGCTAGTCCCGCCTCTCATGGTTTCTCTGTGGAGAATTAAACAGAGGACAAGTCTGGCAGGCCAGGCTAGAAATCTCCATAGCTTTTTGTCAAGACAGCATCAAGCAAACTAAGCAACAAAAAGAAATTGAGTTCTGGAATAAAATTTGAAATAAAATTTCAAATAACAGAATTTTTTATCTGAAATTTGAGTTAAGTGTATTGGATGCATATTGTGCTTTTTAATGAAAACGAATAAAGGAGCATGCAGCTCTCCCAGAGTTTTCACAAGGAACAATTTGGCGTGCCACCCCAAAATCCTCTCTGGCCCTGTCTGGCCACCCTTATAAAAATTCTGGGTGTGTCTCTGGTTTTCTGAACAACTCCACTAATTTCCGTTCTTGGTTTTTGTGGTTCTGTGTGATTCAGAAGGACATAGGCAGAGATATCCTAAGATTGTTCCTTCTGTTGATCAGCTGGTTCTTCACAAGGACGATTTGTTGAACCTCACTTGCAGGTATGTGACCAAGTTGATGGATATATGTAGTTAGTCACAGTAAATCTAATTGTTCAACCACTCACTTTTGTGATTTGTGACAATCAACCCCATTTGTCTTAAATGTGTTTCTTCATTCCCTCTAAATGATCTATTTTGAACTCCTTTTGCAACTTTTACATGTGAACATTTGTGTTACTATCTAAGAGAAAGGCCAGAGGAGAAATAATCAGGACCTGACTGGGTCTCTGGCCACAAAGAAACAGAGACAATCCATGACAGGAACCAGTAATGGTGGTCCACAATTATCAGTCTCTCACCATTTCCTTTTGGGATGGTGGCACCCAAGTGGTGCATTCACATTTCTGGAGAATTTAGGGCATTGCATCATTTTACAGGCCTGCAAAGAATGCACAGAAACTAACATCTTTTTAATGGGATGCTTCCCTACAAGGCGATTTGTTAAGACACACAGAACTGAGTTGTTTTCTGTCATTGGCTGAGAACTGGTGGGTGGTTGACCCAAAATTTCTGCAGGCAAAGTCAGTGGTATGCAAGACATGTTTGATGTTCCTCTGGGATCCCTTTAATGAAGGAGTTTAAAGTAGGTTCTCCATGGAAAGAATCCATTAGCCAAGCAAATCTTTCAAGAGAAACATGTTCCCATGTGAAAGTTCAAGGTATTGGGTGACTCAACATTAACTCCAAATAAACTTAGGATGAACATCAGGCCAGAGAATCCCAGGGGTGGAAGCAGCAGCTGTCATCCTGAGCTGAAAAGATTGCAAGGCCGTCTGCCAGCTGTGACACTTGCACTAAAAATAGATGTAAACTATGCTGTGTTTTCTGCATGGAGTGGATAAATATTGTCATGTCTAACACTGTCCCTATATGTCTTCATTCAGAGGTCAAGGTATCTTAAACTGGACACTTGGAAATGCCCAACGCTCAATCTCATCAGAGGGTGTGAAGGTAGAGCAGTGTGATCCCAAACATTACTCTCACTGCACCAAACTTACAATCAAGAACCTGACTGCCAGTGACACAGGAAGTTACTTCTGCTCAAGAGCTGGTTCAGACCACAGCGCATCGGTCTATGTCTTCGTCAAAGGTGAGACCTAAGAAATTATCCTGCTTCCCCTCCTTGGTATTTCTACCAAGCCATCTCTGACAAAGTAGTCTAAACTGGTGGAAAAAAGGTTGAATAAGTACTCAATAAATGAGAAGCTGAAACGTTATTCATGCATTTTACATTAAAGCACTGCTGCCCTGCTTTGAAAATGGTTGTTTGGATGGATGGATGGATGGATGGATGGATGGATGGATGGACAGACAGATGGATGGGTGGGTGGGCAAATGGATGGATAGATAGATAAGAGGATGGTTGGATGGTTGGATGAATGGATGGACAGACGGACAGGTGGATGGATGGATGGGGATGGATGGATGGACAGACAGATGGACAGGTGGGCAGATGGATGGATAGATGGATAAGAGGATGGTTGGTTGGTTGGATGAATGGATGGACAGACGGACTTACTTTGAAGCCCTGCTGCTCTGATTTGAAAATGGTTGTTTAGATGGATGGATGGATGGATGGATGGATGGATGGGGATGGATGGATGGACAGACAGATGGGCAGGTGGGCAGATGGATGGATAGATGGATAAGAGGATGGTTGGTTGGTTGGTTGGTTGGTTGGTTGGTTGGATGAATGGATGGACAGACAGATGGACAGGTGGGCAGATGGATGGATAGATGGATAAGAGGATGGTTGGTTGGTTGGTTGGATGAATGGATGGACAGACGGACTTACTTTGAAGCCCTGCTGCCCTGATTTGAAAATGGTTGTTTAAATGGATGGATGGATGGATGGATGGATGAACAGATGATGGATGGATAGATGATGGATGGAAAGATGGATGAATGGATGATGGATCGATGGATGGACTGATGGGCGGGCAGATGGACGGATGGATGGATAGATGATGGATGAATAGATAAATGGATGATGGATATAGATGAATGATGGATAGATGATGGATGGATGGATGGATGAATAAGTGGATTATGGATGGATAGATAGATGAATGATGGATGGTTGGATGGATGGATGGACTGATAGGCAGGAGGATGAACAGATGGGTGGATAGATAATGGATGGATGGATGGATGGATAAGTGGATGATGGATGGATAGCTAGGTGAATGATGGATAGATATGGACTGATGGGCGGGAGGACAAACGAATGGATGGATAGATGATGGATAAATGGATGATGGATGGATGATTCTGTTAATCAGTGATTCATAATTATATTTATTATAATTATATAACAGGTAGTAGTATTTTAACATTCTGGGTGTTTGTGTTCAAGCTGAGGTGTTGTGAGTCTCCTCAGTAGGAGGCAGAGAAGACGAATAGTTTTTTAGTGCTGTGGTTTCATCCTGAAGTCAGAGAGTGAACCCTGATTATTCAGGAAACTTTGGTCAGTGACTGATTTCCTGCTTCAGCTACTGTTTCCGAAGGCTCCTCTGAAACCTCACAGGTTACAGTCACACACTTCTAACCGGAAACCAGAACTGTATGAAATATCAGCTTTAGCCCATTCCACTTACCCTTATTTGAAACTTTGAGTCTATGTGGACATATAGTTCTTAGATGTTAGTCCAGGAAATATTTAGCTTTTTGGTGAAGCTGGGTGCTCTTCATTTCCTTTCATGTTGCTCTGGAATGTGGCCCATACTTTTTCTGGCCCACTGGCTTGTGTTTAGTCTAGCACACTCTTTACAATGATCCCTGGTTATTTATTAGATTATGATCCACACTCATTGTTCAGATAAAAACAACCTAATCACACCACTAATGGTTGAGCTCACACCAATCACAGACTATTTGTGCAGCCCTTTAGTTCCCAGAGTTGCTGTTTGATGGCTGGCCGCTCAGTTGGAGCTGACCTAAAAGCTCGTTCTGGGCTCTGCAGCCTTATCAGTGTAGAATTAACTAATCAGCTGATCTTTGAGTCGAATGCCTCAACTTTTTCCTCATTCACTCCCGATTATCCAGATGATGGAACTATTTGCTGATCTTTAAGGCATCATGGGAAGTTGGAGTCAATCCTAGGACACTTTGAGCCAAGATAAGAATTTGCCCTAAAGGACTTTTAATCAATCACAGAGCTGAGACAGACACTATTTGCACCAGGGAATCTTATCAATGTGTTTTTCACAAGTGCTGCAGAAAGTTAATGTTAGCATCTCACTTGGCTGTTGGCAGCTAGTTAGAGACACAAAATTGAAAGAAAATGTGCAAAATTACAGCCGGATTCTGAACTTGTACCAGTCACGTTTTCAACTTTTGGCAAAATTTTTGTCATGCAAATATAACAAATCTTGCTTATTTTAGTGTGGAAATTTTGTCCTAAAATAGTAATATATATTTGCCATTTGCCTACAGTTTCTTGCAATTTTGTTACAAACCCCTCCCAATTTAATCACACGTTTCTTTCACTTTGTAACATGTAATTTGCACAAGTCTCACAGCTGTTACAAATATTGCCAAACGTTATGGATTAACACAAACATTAATTGCAACAAGAAATAATTTTTGTGATGAATATTATTTGAATAATCTTCCTGACATGCCCAGATGTTTATAAAACACACATATTTGTCGTAATTGCCAATTTCGTAGGATTCCAAGTGTTGACTTAATTTTTTACACATTTGTGTCACCATCAGTCTAATAAGACAAGAGCAACAAACCACACAAAAATACACAAATTAGTTGCTGTTTGTACAATGCTAGAGGTGAACTATGCTGTTGCCTGGTGCTATCTGAATAAAAAACCTGATTGATTTTAACTGTAATAAACTTAACAAAATTCTAACTTTGATACAACATCTATAGCTCAGTTTCCTCTAAATCTGCCTCAAAACATATTTTACTACAAAGAACAAAACAGAAAGCCGTAAATTATTCCAAATGCAGCTTTAGTCAGAAATCTACGATAAATGTTGTGAATATTTAGTGGCTTTAATCGTCTTGCAGATCCTGAGCAACCGTTTGTCGAGCCCTGTGACACAACGCCGTACGTTCTGGGCATCTTCAGGAACGAGACCAGCCTCGTGGTGCCATGCCGAACATCCTCACCTGATGCTGTTGTGACACTGATGGGGGTAAGACCTCACAAACACAGCCATCACACCAAATCTACAAATGCCTTATCCTTGTGGGGTATATTGTTTCACTCCATGGTGATACCCAATGTCCCACAGACTTCGCTGGATGTAGACTTTGGGGAAACTCACGCTGTGTGTCAACTGAAAAAACAAGATTGTTGTTAATATCCCTGCAGGTTGGATCTTTATTTGTCTTCTTGGGAAGAAAGAAGTTGTTTCCACAATGTACGCAGGGTGTCTCACTGGTTCTCACACCCTTTGTGCATTATGACCCTCAGAGACAACGACGGGGCGGTGCTCTGTCTGAGGGAAGCTCTCTGGCAGGGAAGGTAGTCTCTTTGTCTGCTTCCTGCTTGAGGAGGAAGGTGCTCCAGGAGTACTTCTCTCAGAATAGACCCATGGCCTAAATTTAGCCCCTCATCTCTTACAAACAGCCGGAAATGCAGAAGAAAAACTGCACGCAGTGTGTCCAAATGCAGGAAGTGACCGCAATCTTGGCTCATAGAGTCACAGAGCTGATCCCGGAAAGAAAACTTTTTACACTAACAACAGACATACTTTTTTTCCCAGACTTATTCATATTTGGTGTCATGTATCATCGTGCCTGATATAAACAAACACATTAAAGTGTGATGGCTATGCAAACTTCCTGTTTTGAGTAAATTTAAGACAGTCTTCCTTCCCATTTGTCCCTCACCTTAAGCCCCCACATGGGAACAAACAGGAGCAGGCACGTACATCCTTTTCAGAGTCTATTTGAGGCTCTCCATTAAGAAAACAAATAAATAAATAAAAATGGCAGAGGTCAAGCTCCATAAACAATCAAAACTAATTAGACATTTAGTTCAATAGACGTGGGTCCCCAGGTGAGCTCAGCTAGGCATGAGTTACATATTAAATGAGGTTGAGTGCTTTCCCCTCACTTTGTCTGGCTCATTGACTCGGGCAACACAAGTGTTGTTTTTTAAAATTGTGTTTGCTTTTATAACTGCAGGCCCCAGCTCTGTCACAGGAGATTGTTAGAGGAATGGTGTGGGATCCTAAGGTGGGCTTCACAATCCCTTATGGTTCCTACACCAGCTACATGTTGCTCACCTGCAGCACCAACGTCAATGGGCACCATTTCCTGTCAAAGTACATCCCTAAAAGACAGAGTGAGTCCTGCTTCTATAGTGCAATTTCAAATGTTCTTGTCTTTTTAGCTAATAATAGTCTTTATATGTGTCTCCATTTAACAGCTTTGGTTCTGAAAAATGTGAAGATCACCCCAGAACACACCAGGGTGTTAGTTGGACACACTCTTGTCCTCAACTGTAGTGGAGAGACCACCCATAATGGTAGAATAACCTTCACCTGGGATTTTCCAGGATCGAAAGTAAGTTCATGGTTCAGGAGTGGTTTTGGAGGAATCAGGCTCTGTGGTGTTTACAGTAATGGCTTTGTCTCCAGGACAATCGACACTACATGAGCAAGTCTGTGCCCACACCTGCTAAGGTTCTTGTGATGAGCAGCACCTTGATGTTGCCAAACGTTACCATGGAGAATAAGGGAGAGTACCACTGCAAAGGTGAAATCGGACTCAAACCCCACATGGTTGCATCAGCAAAAGTCACTGTCTACGGTAACAAAAGTTCCTTCATTGGTGTAGAAAAGTTTCACATTCATGCTGTACTTTCTGTTTCTGTGAAGTTTTACTTCTTCATCTTTGATCTTTGCCTGCAGAGCATCCATTCCTCCACATTTCCAACAAACGTGACACAGTGACTGTGGTAGAAGGCAGGAAGAGGCTTGTGTTGGAGCCCAGGGTCAACGCTCTGCCGCAGCCAGACATAATAGCATGGTGTGTAATGATTTCAATGATAATTTTAAATAGAAATCCAGGAATTTATATTCATATTTTTATCTGATAAACAAAATTCAGCCTCACATGGACAAATATAACATAAGCAATCAAGAGTGATGGAGCAAAGATTTTAAATTAGCAACATTATTTGTTTGACCTCCACTCCTTATAGCATAAATTATAAAATAATAATAAAAAAATATTCAACCTGTTTTAACCTTTCAATGTCCACACCAAGCCAAGATAATGTTCCCGGTCTTGCATTATTTCTAGATTTTATTTTAGTTTTATACACTCTAAGAAATTAAATTTACGTAACCAAGCTACATTAACAGGCTACTCTAAACCTTGTTGCTCACGTGTAAAGAGTAATATACATGTACTATTAACACAACAATGTTTCTTATTTTTACATTTGGGTTTAGTGGAACCAGTTGGCATAACTTGGTTAAGTAAATTCAACATTTCCTTTCTTACAGTGAAGTTTTATTAGTTAAATGAGCTATAGTGACTTCATTGTGCTTTTTAAATTATTAAAATTATTCAACTTTAGAATTTGTTTGTGGGTTTTCTTAAGAAGGTTTTGCACTGTTAAACCTTTCTGCACTATTCATTCAGCTACTATGATCTATAATAGCTGAATTATTGTTAAATGTTGTGTTTAAACATACGGTACATAACCTTAAAGCCGTGGAACACTGAAAAACAATATTTAAAATGTTATTTCTGATTATAATTGGTCACACTGAGTTTTTCATGCAGGCTGATCATGAAAATAGTCTCCTACACCTATCTCCTGTGTTGGTGTCTGATAGAAAATGTCACACTGTCACTTAACATTCATGGACTCACCCATCTTGGCTCACAACAAGGAAGGCTGTTGTTGTTGGTTTAGTGTCCAGGAAACAACAGAGAACATTTTGGCTAGTACAAGCTAACTGTTAGCATTAGCAACTCCACCACACGGCAGACGTCCTCCAGACTTGAGTTATTTGTGGAGATAAAACATCAACGTTGGAGTCAGTGGTACAGTCACATTGCTGTTAGCCAATCAGAGGTAAGATCTCCAAATATCAGGAGTTCCTGGAATTTTGCACTGGAGCTTTGTTTCCTCATAGTGTGACTTACAAGGCCTTCATTCCTACCAGAGACCACTACAAATGTATTGATTAAACAAGTGAATCACACCTTTAAGAACTCACACAATATTAAGAAAAGGTTTTGTTAACAAAATGATTAATGCACTTTATTGTAACTTGACTATAATTTTTTTATTCAAATTTCAGGTATAAAGATGGCGACCTAATTACGAAGAATTCCACATGTTATAAGATGTCTGATTACAGACTAATCATCACTAGGGTGGAGGAGAAAGACGATGGTGTTTTCACTTTGAGCCTGGGCAACAGGCTGAAGGGCCTGCACAGGAATGTGAGCTACACTCTGGTAGTTCACGGTAAGTCAGCACCCTTTACCTGGTAGTCACAGCTGATTTGGAGTAAGTGAAGCCTTTCTTTGCTTCCCTGCTGCGGCCGCTCTCAGTACAGTTTGCTGGATTGTAGGTAGCAGCTCTAGAATGAGAGGAATCTGGGGGCTTGTTGTTTCCAGGGCTGGATTGACGTTGCCTGGACAGCTGTTGTTGATTTTTGGGGCTCTTTTGAAGGGGCTTGGCTCGGTGTGTAAATGGGCCGAGCTCTATTGTGCTCTTAGACTCCAACCGCTCAAAAATGCCTCCCCCCAACCCCCTGGTTCCTTACACTTTCTTGCATCCTCACCACGTGTATACACAGAGCAGCTCATATAAACACGTTCCACACATTAGAAACACATCTGGCAAAAAACAAGGCCTGAGCATGTAATCACAGTTATGATGGTTGCTGATATCTGTTCACGCTCGAGGCTGTAACCTCTGAACAGAGTAGTGTCACTTTCCATTCATTTGCATCAAATTCTTTAAACATTTCTGAGAAACATTACTAGCGTGTCAAAAATAGGGGACCCCCCCCACCCCCACCCCCCTCCGGCTTGTATAAACTTTATTTATGAACCTTGACTGCTGTGCTTCACACGACTTTTATTTATTGGAATGACAAAAATAAAACAGGCAGACACAAATAAACAAGAGTGATTCCTGGGAACAATTACAGAACTATTTTAAACTTTGTTCATATGTGTTGTTTGGGTTCTGGTCCATGTTATGAATGTGCTCTGAGGGATGCTGGGTGTTTTTTTTTCTCAGTTAGAAAATGACTGAATGATGTGGTCAAACTCCAAGTATCTTGGTCTGTTGTTCATTACAGCACACATGGTTGAATCAGTGAAGTGACCTGGGCATCGCTCTCTGACCTAAAATCTAGGGTCAAACTGTCATCCGGCCATTCTTCTTCCACAGAAAGTGTTTAAAGGACAATTGGTGTCAGTGGCTCCTTTTCATGGCTATCCATCATGAGTGTCGCCCCTCATTAAAAATACATTATCAAATACCACAATAAACAGGATCAGGAGAGTTGATTTAACCTGCTCCTCTTTGATTCTGCTTGTAATTATGTGAACTCTTTCCTCACAGTGAAGCCGACCATCTTGGAAGCGGAGCTCGCCACCAAGGACGTGCAGCCCTACCTGCTCGGCAAGCAGTATCGACTAACCTGCTCTGCTTATGCACGGCCCTTACCGAAAATCACCTGGTTCTGGCAACCGTGTAACTCAGACAAAGCACTTAGCAAGTGAGTTACCGTCTAGCTAATTTAATTTAGAATTTTTGAGTCTAACCTGTTTCACGGCTTATTAACTTCTCCCATCTTGGAAAACAAAAGACGAAGATGACTAAACAATTTTTTAAAAACAGCTTCTATTTATCTGTCAAGATAAACATCATGAGGCACTTCACAAGAGCACAAGCGTGATATGTGTTTATGTTTATGTATTTGGCAGACACTTTTGTCCAAAGCGACTTACAGGTGATAATTATACCAGCAGGTTGTCCTTGAGGCTAATAACAAACACTATTCAGTCGGTCCTAGGTGGTGGTGAGGCAGCATAAAGAATCATAGAGGGAAGTGAACATAGAGTGTGCAGTAGAGTGGGGGACCGGTGCTGGGAGCTAGGGCGCTAGTTTAGAAGATGCTCTCTGAAGATCTGGGTCTTCAGGATTTTCTTGAAAATTGACAAGGGAGCCCCTGTTCTGGTAGTGCTATATATATATATATATATATATATATATATATACTATATATATATATATATATATATATATATATATATCATGTTAAAAATATCATCATTGAAAATAAAAAAATTGGGAAAATGAAAACATTTAAACTAAAAAATGAGAGGGAAAACAAAAATAAATGAGGAAAGTTAAAGTCCCATTAGTCTAACCTGGCCTGCCACACTCGCCCTCTGTCTATTCTACACAGAGGATGAGTCTGGATACTTAGATGCAGAGAGCACCAAAGATGGCATTGGGCTCAAACATCTTTCTTTAGAAGAAAGTCTTTTAGCGCTTCTCTTTGTTG